AAGCAAAGAGAATCAGGAAGGGGCTGGGATCCCAATAGCCCCGTAAAGGGTGCACCTCAGGTAACATTACTTCCTTTTACTAGGCCCAATCTCTTGAAGTTCCCACCACCTTCCAGCAGTGACACAGGTTGGAGCCTGAGCCACAACCATATGAGTCTAGGAACCAATTAAGAGCCAAACTTCATTGGAAGTGGAGATCTAACTCAGCCCCTCTTCCACAAGTTCTGAGCCCAATGAGAAGGCAGGCAGCAACGCTTTAAAACTGTAGGCTATAGGCTGCCTTCCCTCTGGGTGGTTTGGGGGCTCCTCCAGGGCTTGGTCAAGAGATAATTTAGGGCAAGAGCAGCAAAATAAATAGGTCAGCTCAGCAAAGACACTGGCATAGACTTGCATAGGGCCCTGCAAGTCCTTGGGCATCCTTGCACTACAGGGCTGACACCAGCCCTATCCCACTCTGGCTTTACAGAGTAGAGCCTGGGGGTCTTTTCTACCAATCTTGGTTCCCCTAAATGAGCCCTTGTGCTGGTAGAGCATGGGGTATCTTCTAGACCATCTTAATATTGGAAAGGTTGGGCATGGTGGTACATGCCTGTGATCCCATCACATGGTAGGCAGAGCTACAAGTACAAAAACATCCTGGTCTACAGAATATGTTCTAGGGCAGCCTGGACTACATGGTAAGATCCTGTCTGAAAATCGATCCAACAAACAAATAAAAACAATATTGAGGGATGTACCCACATCTTACTGTGGCATATATTCTTATTGCAAGGTCACACGATTCCTAAAATAAGAATCGGAATTCTTTTTGTTGTTGTTGCTATAGACAGTGTCCCATGTGTTTCAAGCTGGCTTTGAACTCTCTCTGTAGCCATAGCCAAAAATGACCTTGAACTCCTTATCCTCTGAGTTCTAGGAGTGTAATCATGTACCATGTGACCATTTTATGCAATTTTGGAGGATCAAACACAACTAGAGAAGCATTCTACCAACTAATCTACATGCTCAGAATCAGAATCAGTATTCTTTAAGGAACAAATAATAATATTGGGTCTAGGCCTGGTCTTAGGTCCCATCTCTCTCCTCTCTGGCAATGTGGCTTGATGGACTCAATCTTTCTGCTCTTTTATTGTGCCTTGTTGATTGTCTTAATCCATTTTGGGTTACTATCACAAAATACCTGACATTGGCCTATTTATTAAGAAAGGATGTTTATTTTGCTCACCATTCCAGGGAATAAAAAGTTCAAACATGGTGTTAGACTCCTGGAAAGAGCGCCCCTGGCTGTGTCACAGCATATCAAGTGGCATGATGTGGTAGAAGTATATTCCAGAGGAAAAGAAGAAGCCAAGATGAGGGTCTGGTTCTCTCTTTTTTTATAGCAAGTCCCCCAGGGGAACAACCCAGTCCCAGGAGCCCGGTCCCAACTCCATATGATAGTGTTGGTCCTTTCATGAGTCTGGAGTCCCTGTGACAATAATTACTTCCTCTAGTCCCACCTCTTAAGAATATGGCTTCAAAATAATTTTAATGTGGGGACCATGCTTGCTGCTCTGAGACCTTTAAGCCAGAAGGGTGTCAGAACAGGCAGGAGCTCTTCCTTTTTGTGATAACTGAGCACAGTTTCGTCACTGTGAAGGGCCAAGCACATGTTCAAGAAGCCACTCTGAAGATGCTCAAAGGTGCAGTCCTTGGCCCCTGGGCTCAGCACCTTTTGCTATCCAAGCTTAAGTAGAGGAACTCTACTTCCTCCTGTCCTCTCCCCATCCTCTTGATCTACTCTCAGCATCTTTCCTTTGTCTTCTAGAGACTCTCAGACCAGGGCTCTTGGATATGGTTTCTGCTGTGTCATCCTTATCAAACCAAAGAGAGCTCCAAATGCCATCTGGAAGGGTCCCCAAGAAAGGGAATGCCAGGAACCAACTCTTTGTTTACTCATTTTAAAAATTAGGCTCCTGTGACAGACACACAGGCAAGGGGGGAGTCAGCCAACCAGGTCATGGCTGTTTAGGCTTTT